AAAGAAACTCCAGGTGCTGAAGGGAGCCATTTTAAGAGGCACCACTGAGTGCCTGAAGGACTTGGCATGTTCACTTTTGGAAGAACCAATACTGCGACCACAGGTGGGCAATAGTGAGACAATCCCTTTCTAAAATACATCATTTTAGAAACAAGAATAGAAACATCAGTCTGGCATCATGACAAAAGTGTTCTTTGGGGAATAATTATATGGATTCTTCGTATCCTACAGTTTCACTTTAGAGTGGGCCAAATCCCCAGCTGGTTTAGATCAGCAGCTGATTTACTCCAGCTAAAATTCTGGCCTGGTATTTCATTTCTGTTATTACCTTATCTTTAACAGTCCCCACTGTCCTAATTTATCATCTGCGTTAGAAATCGCAGGAGCACAGGAAGGGGTAACCACAAACAAAGGAGCAAAGACAGGGAAGGAGCCACGTCACGGGCTCTTCTGTGCCCCCATCTGTCCATTTTTCCAGACCATGGGACTGAAATATAGTTGAATCATACGTAAGGATGTGGAGGAGGCAGTGAGAAGACAGCCAGAGGCAGGAATCAGGCAAGCAGAGGGTTTTGAAGTCGTTACATGAGAAGACGTAGGAGGGCAACAGGAGAGAAGATGAAGCTGGTGGTGGAGGAGGCTGAACTGTGCAGAAGCCACAGCAGAGGACATGAGGCATGGGCAGGGTCAGCCTGGGAGCTGGACAGATCCTCTGTTCCTGCTTCCACTTTGAGTTTGACAAGATGTACCTACTCAACTGCAAACCTAAAAGAAGGTCACATAACCCCGGCCGGGTACGCAAAAAAAACCCACTGCAAAGGAAGTTAAAGAGCAAATATAGGACTTCCTCCTCCTCTTTAGGCTCTAGCACATGGAGCTGGAATAGACTCTGAATTCAAGAGGAGTCGTTCCAGAGAGAAGTGATGTGATATTGCACATCTTCCCAAAAGCAGGCTTTTCCCATGCACCCCCTCCCCAGGAAAGGGCAGCTGCAAAGCCTGCCCTGAGCTGGCTCTGCCAGTTTCTCCCTGTTCTGTAAGCCTCAAAGGTTTTCAAGTTAAATATTTTGTGAGAGATTAGCCTCGAAAAGAAACAAACACTTACTAAGCAGCAACAGGTAACACCCTGCAAGGCAACCGACTCTCTTAAAGCCATATCCCAGTGCTTCCTCCTGCTCACACAACCTGTATCTCACAGTGCATCAACTGTGCTGCTCATGGGAATGAGAGGAGTAAGGTAGGGAATTCAGGAGCATTCTGCACGGCCACTCAGGGCTGCCCAGTACCACCCTTGGGTGAAATAATGTGGTTTAACGCTGACTAGTCGAGATCCTGGGCCCAGGGAGGGTAATTTGCAGATCCAAACCTCTGCAAGTGGCCATCAGTATTGCAGAGAGGGCTGAGGGGAAATGCCAGGCATTTAGCCACAGACTTCACTCCAAGGATGCCCTGCTCAGTCTGGAGGAAAGTGTCCTAACCATGAAAGAGCTGAGTAGCAGGAATTGGTAACAACAACTTTCTCATGAAAGCCATGTAGAAAAAAATTTACTTTTCCCAAAGAGTACCTGCCTAGCATCTGCTGTCTAGAGAAAAACATTTTAGGTTTTAGGCATAATTTTTTTCAGATGTTTTCACACCATGATGATTTAATTATTTTTCCCTGATCAGCTAAATAGCTATTTGGATAATGACAAATAGCTAACAGCTTCACTATAATAATCCATATATGAAAGTTGAGGTTACATCCTTCACTTAGCCAAAGAAATGCATTTTTCTGCCCCGTTCCCATCACTGCTCCCATTTGTAGCAGACTAATAAAGATGTCCTGCTGCACCAGCCACTCTGTTAAGTAACAGGGTTGAATTTCCACCTGTTTTTTCTAATGGAAAACTAGCAGGCATATACCTCTGCTGTTTACCTACTTTGCTGGTGTCCCAGAGGACATATAGATGTTTAATTTGGAGAGCATATGCATATAAGTTATTATTATAAACTGGGGTTTCATACTTGAATTTTACTTTTTACTTGTGTCCCATCTTTTATGCTTGCCTTTAAAAACAGAAACCTAACGTGCCATGTTCTATTTAGAGAACTGAAGGAACAGCACAGGTGCAATGGAGACTGGATCTACCAGCTGAAATTCAAGTTTGTGCACTGTGACTGATTTGCCATCACTGACAGGACCTGACAAAGAAAACACTGGTTCCTGTTCCAGAGCTGCACCTCCTAAAGATCTGTGCAATTATATGAAATTAATATCTCTTCCTTTCTTTGGACAAAACTGCTGTTTCCCCAAGGCTGTATTTCAATCCATGTCCTACACATTTCCCAAGCAATGGAATATTGACATGCAAATCTGACAGGCCTACTCCTTGGTGTGCCACATTTACAATCTGCCCCTACATGTTGCAGATCAAATTCCACCACCTAACATACAATTTTCGCCCTCCTGATTACACCAACACCCAACACCCGCAGGAGACACAGCTCTCCTGCAGCCATAAGGCTCTCTCAAGAATGAACTACCTGCTCCAGACACAGCTGGGGGAATAGTGCATCACCTCCTTCTCTCCCTGAATTTTAAATTGACTTTAATCACAGCAAAACTCTCACGCATATGTGTCAGCAGTGCTGTGAAGGTGTAGAGGATCATGTTCCTGGGCCAACTATACACAGCACTGGTGACACAAGTGAAATGGAAGGGACCTGAGTTTGAGCAGAAGAAATGTCTGACCCCAAATGCATGTAAGGACATCATAATTACAGAGGGAGAGTCAGAAGGCATCCAGAAAGGAAGGAGGAAGAGGAGGAGACAGGTAAAGAGGGAAATGATAAAGGAATATTGTCTCAAGTCATCACAGAGAATTAGTCCACTAGGATAATGTCTGTGCATTACAGGAAAGCTTATTTGTTCTTTCTGGAGCTCTTGGGTCACATCTCTGCAGCTCAAGGAATGGTTTGTTCTCCACTGCAGAATCAGCTCCTTTGACCAAGGCAGGAACAGCAAACTCAGATTTCAGCCTGAGCCTTACCCAGCTCTCTTTGCACAGAAGAAATATAATTAAGGTATATGGCTCTGAGAGCAGAAGGATGAACGTGGATAATAATGGTTGAGCACTGAGAGGTGGAAGAAGTATTTCACCTGTTTTCCTCCACCATGATCTGTCTTCCTCCCCCATGCATGCTACAAGCCATAAACTACATAAGCCACAAGCACCATGGGATCCAGACTTTGGAATCCTACATGGTTATGTTTATTCTCTTTTTGGATCTTTTGTTTCTTTTTTTTTTTTGCTAAATTTAAGTAGAAATTGATGTTTAACTCCAGGAGCACTTGAGGACATGCCATGAAGGCTATAGTCTGCTACTGTTCCCAGAACAACATATTTCAAGGAGGGAACAAAACAATCAATGAGGCAGCCTGACATGAGACAGTCTGGAGGCCCCACATTTGGTTTAGTGTTCATGACAACAATAATTAGCCAGGATTAATCATCATAATGTTTTTTTAAAATTTAACTTGCAAGTGCAAACCAGTTAGCTCAGGAATTTTGCCACTAGAATTTTAGCTCCAGTGCAGTCCACAGTGATCACACTAAAAGCCTCACCTCTTTAATTAATCTTCAATGGTTTAAATAAAATAAGTTGGTGGGAAACTATTGATTCATAAGAGATCAGTGTCTGTACACACCATATGCATTTTACACCATAGCATTTTCCATGGAAGTCACAGATTGCCATGGAGACTTAATCTTGCCTTCAGCCATATTTGTAAACTCGCTTCAAAACAGAACCTTGGCAAATATGCCCTTAGCTGCACTAATCCTGATTAAGAGAGATTTTGAAATTTCCCATAACTGATAACCTGAGAATCTAAGGCATTATTCAGGGAATATCTGGGACACAGGATACTGTAATAGGCACAGTGGCATCATGTGGATCACTGACATCTACAAGACCGGACCAACACTGCTGAAGTCACCTGGTCCAAGTGGGGACTTCACATTTAACAATAATTCCCAGTAGACTTTTCCTCCTTGAACACCTTCAACTGCTGCATGAATGCAGAAGTTGTTGCTCTTAATTGTACAGCAGAGTACACACCAGGACCATCATGAGAGGTTGTGAACACAAACCTCTCCTGGGATTAATGGCAGCTGATGGCAGGGCAGTTCAGCACAGAAAAAGTGGCCTCTCTTCTCTTCACCCCTATCTCATTTTATTCCCTGCCACCAAGTCTGCATTTTATTAAAGCAGAAGAAACATTCAAGCCTTCTTTACACAGAGACTCCTCTGCATAAGAAGGAAAGTTATGGTGTTTAATTTAAACTCTTATTTTAAACAACAGTCTTTCAGGTATAAACACAGATGCCCATGCTAACACTGAAAGTCACTTAGATTAAACAAATAGTCAACATCAACTACTACTAGGCACTTCAAGCCTGAGCAAGTAAACTCTTATTTAAATGAATCATTGGGTCATTTTAATCAGTTAAGTGGCCTAGCACAGGAATGTCTGCCGTTCCTTTTGGTTTCAGGAGTTTCCCTACCTGCACTCATCGCTACCAAAATAATCCCTCTGCTCCACCCAGCTATTAGGCCCTAATTTGTCAAAATCCCTGAACCAGAAAGTGAACTTTAGTGGGTGACAATCCCCTTGGAAACTGAAGGATGACTCATGATCCCAAACCTGTGCTGCTGGCTTTGTATTCTTTGTCATTGATAGGCAATTTTAATGATGCAGATGAAAGTTATACAAAGCATTGAATAGTACTCAATAAATGATTGCCAGTGTACTACAGAGGAATTTCCTAAATAAAAAAATGTATTTGAAGCACCAGGGGCTTATTAATTCACTGGCTGTTACTTTATCTTACCATGGGATAAGCTGGAGCAGAGGTGTAAGAAGGAATCTCAGCTTCTGTTATTAAACTGTCTGGAAGTGGAAATGTCCCAGAGGAGGGCACTTGGTTCCCCACACCCATTTATATATACACACACCTTATGTGGCATGTGTTCAAAGCCTCTGTTCACAAGTGGCATGTTGGCACAACTGGGAAGGTGCAGCCTCTTCCTAATTCAGGTTCTGTCATTTGTGTGTCCCTCAAACTTCTAAAGGTCTTTGCTCCATCTGGGAGAAGCTGTGGAGAAACAGACAAAAAGGAGCTCCAGAATGAAAATCACCATGCAAGGAATGAAACAAAAGAAATCTGAACACACCTGGAATAGCAAGGCATGGCAGGAAACAGCAAGAGGATGCACCATTCTCTCCTTCTTCCAGAGTTTCAGGAAGGTTGTTGTTTTGTTCCTCATCTTTATCCCTGAAAGAGCAAAGAACTCCTTTATCACAAAGCATAATACTATTGAAAATATAACTGATAGAGCTTGGAAAGATGTGAATTACAATATGAGATACACAACTGAGAGCTTCCTTTGGGGATGGAAGGTCATAAGGACCTTTAAGGTACTTAAGTTTTAAAAATATCTAAAATTTCTCTTCTTCAACCCTTGGCTAAGGTTTTCACAACCCCGCACCTCAGTGATGACAGAGGATTCAAGGTGCACAAAGGTATTCACAGGGGGATGAATCCCTACAGGAGCATGGCCATTGATATCTCAGAAAACAGAAAAGGTTCTAGAAATAGATTTTGTGGAACCACTGTACTTTCAATGCAAAAAAAAATGCAAAAAAGAGGAAAAGTACAGCAGAATGAAGTGATATTTCCATCAAATAATACTAACAAAGGTCCAGGAGATGTTTCTGATTTCCTGCACGGCCTCAGTCAGGACATTTCCCTCACCCCTTTTCTCATCATTAAAACCAAAGGAAATGTGTAACACAAGTGCAAAGAATTCTTCAGTCATTAGCAGTGGTTGGGGCTGAAATTTCCCCTTTTCAGGAAGAAGTGAGCTGTGGAAAAGCTTAAAAAGAGGGTTATATTTTAATCACACTTAAAAAAAGGAAACTGCAGGCAGGCTATCTATTCAGTGGGAATGCAACAAAAAAACAATTGTCTTACAAGGGCAATTGAAAATCAAAGTGAATGAGTATTTATAGCAACTGAACTGTTTAAAACAACAAACTGAAACTGCAGCACCAACTACTTCACAAAGTCATATTCTTGAAGAAGGGGGGAAAAAAGATCAAAGATCTGCAGGCAGCCAGCTCTGCATACAAGTGGCTTTATCAGCTCTTGGCTGTGTTAAAGGGAGTCAGGCATCCTGAAAGAGAAAGCATTTAATGAGGTGATGAACAACACTTTCTTGGCCTTAATTATAAGGATAGGACTAAGCAACAATAATTGCAGGATAAATTATTGTCAAGAGATATTTCCAAACAACAACAAAAAACCCCATGTCATTATCAAACAATTATTTTAAGTCTCATTTACATATAAAAAAGAATAAGTGGAATAGTCCTCTTTTTCTTTTCCATTTGTGGGGGTGGTGGAAATTTTCAGGGTGGTGCATGGGAATTAGACGCACTACACCCAATATTGCTAATGACAGATTAATTCTCTGCAGATCACTCTGGGAATTGTACATTTGTATCCAAGAGCAGAATTCAACACAAGAAAAACTCAAATCTCTGTGATGTGCCCCCAAAGAATCACATGTATTTAATAATAGGAACAGAAGACCAACTTCCTCACAAAGTAGCTTTTGAACGAAACGGCAGAAAAGTTCCATTTAGGACAGAGAGAATTAAGCTTTAGGTCTAGTAAAGTAGCTGTGCACATAAGCTACTCAGACCTTATCAGATGAGCCTTTTAAAAGCTCAGATAAAAGAAATGAGATGTATACAGTAGCCTTGAGTCAAATAGGGTTTCAGGAGCCAACAAGTGTATGTCATACGAATAGAGACAAAATGAGATCATGGCAGTTGCTCTGGGGCATTTATCTCAACACCACTTTGTGCCTACAGCTCCCAAGCAGTGGAAGATCAGGAGGTTTTTGGCATTAGGAGTGGTGCAGAGCCAGGTCTTCTACTTTCCCACATTAGCAAATGGAGTAAAGTACCAGGCAGATGTTCAAAACGGTTCCTGCTTAGCTATTAAAACAAACACATTTGCCAAAGAGCCCAGAAGAATACTGGTTGCCATTGGTTTCTGAACTTTGTTTTTTTAATCCAGCTGCTTAAATCTGCCATTACCAACTAGTCATTCTGGGTGGCTAATCCAGAGTCCTGATGAAAAGATGGATTTTTTTTCAGAAGTTGGAGGAGTTTGTCTCATGGAAAATAGAGTCCCTTAGAACTGTTTTTAGTTATCCCTCAAAAAACTGGTTGTACCAAAGAACTGGTTGCTTTGAAAAATGGCAATCTTTCTGTCATGTATATGTACTAAGATAAATTAAATATATACAGTGGTTGTGGATAGAGCACCTACAAGGAAACCAAATAAAATAAGGTTATATTTTAATGTCTTGCAGGTATTTTGGCAAGTAGCTTACCCACAAACGATGATGATCAGTTATGCCTAGAACAGACTAGCATACTATCATTTGAATAAATACAATTAGACATCTCATTTCTTTCACAAAAAAAAAAAAAGTATTAAACAAATCTGGGTACCACCAATGTTTTTGCTTTGGTTTAATCCAGACAATGGGGGCAGTGATAAGTATTACTGTTCAAGGAAAGCTTATTTTTCTTCTTTTTCAAAACTCTGATAGATTTAGCCAAGTACTTGAAACATCCAACACTTCTTTCTAGAAAACAGGAATTCATCAATGTCTTTTCTACCACAAAATTATGACAAAAAGCCGATTTTCAAACTGGATAAAGACAAAACCATTTTAGACATTTCACCCATTAGTAAACAAAATGCAAAATCCATTGCATAAATTAGACAAGTAGTTTTCCACTTTTATTTCAGAGATATTTTGAAGTCCACGGACTACTACAAAAGAATATACACAGAAATATGGCAAGAGCAGTATTCAGTAGGCTTGGATTTGCTGTAGTTAAGTCTGTCAGATCTATAAGAAAGGCTCCATTAATTTAAAGCCCTTCTCAAACATACAGTCCCAGCTCACAGCACAGAGAAATGGGTGTGTAAGGTGCAAACAACTGAGAAAAAAGTCCTGAGATTCTATAAATGCTTATAGAGCTGCAAGGTAATAAGACACAGGCAGTTTAATCAAAAGTCAGTAATTTCCAAGATTCTGGCCAAATCAGTGGGATATGATTCAGACTCTAGATACTAATTACTTACAACTGTGATGATTTTAGTGACAAGGACAGAATAAATATGTATTTCTTTCTACTACTTTGCTTACTGACATGAGATGGCACACTAGCAGTTTCATTTCTGCCCTTATTGTGCTCATTGTAAATTAAAGCCTTGGCTCGCAAAATACAGAGAAACGCACAGTTCTTATTTCAAAAGCTCCCTCTAGCTTCTCCTAACTGTTCATTACCAGAGTTTTCCTGATGATCTGCTAGAAAAAGCAGCTTAGAGTCAAAGGTGGTCTCATCAGTCTTAGAGAAACACAAGCACATATTGTATAACCAATTTCAAGTAGGTTTTTAATTTGTAAAAGCCACACAGTTAAGATGACGTTACAAACCCACCCCCTTCTTTTGATTCAAGATCAAAGAGATTTTTAGAAAAGTGACATAACCCTTAGATGTCCCAGAAAACCACATTTGCCACAATTAACCAGCTTCAGTCTCCAAGCCTCAGACACACAGAGGAGCTGGAACAGCGTGTTCGGAGCAGCGAGGTTTTATTGCAGTTGTGGGCACGTTTGGAATAAACAAGCCCAGGTCAAGTTCCCCACGGCTTCGTTCCAGCCTACAACAACCAGGGGCAGATGGTCAAAGGGAGCTCAGAATGACTGATCTGGGATTGCATCACCAGGTCTCAAGGCAGTGCAAATCAGCACAGCTCTACTGAACCTGCTGCGGTCCCATTGATCCGCGCCAGGGAGCATCCGATCCATCGATTCCAAACACGGTGGAGGCCGGTGACACAGCACAGGTGAAGTGCTCAGATGCAGTGATACAGATGCTTCTCTTCATGCAGACAAACTAAACACTCTGGTGACTGCCCTGGGGTCTGACATAGTAGAAGCAGAAAGAAATGCAATGACTGAGATTCTACAGAAAGAGGAATTAAGGAGGTGGGAAATTCAAAGTAGGCTCTACCTGCAAGCCATCCCGGAGTACTCTCAGCCAGAAGGCTACCTCAGAAATCCTGCATACAATGGCCTCTGATAAAACTTGGAACAGGGTACCTGGTTTCAGAGATGCCTAACGTCTACTCATTCTTTACCATAAAACTATTAAAGAGCAAATAGATGCCACCACGTGTATTCCAGAAAGATGAAATGGGAAACCCATCAAAAAGATGGCACATAAATAATGTAAACAGATGAGGGTGTTAAGTAATATTCCAAGAACATGGATAACTCCTATGAGAGAAAGGTGGTGCTTTAAAATTATCTTCATTATAAAAGAAAAAAACCAGTTTGCTGTGGATTATCCATAACAGTTGTGTTCGAACAACAAAGGAGGGCTTTAGCTGCAATGGCTGCATGTCAGCAGAACAGAAGAGGACACTGGAAGTGTGGAAGAAACGTGTAGTACAAATGCACATCTAACTCTGCCTATGGTTTCAGAGGCAAAGCAGCACCATGAGCAGTCACCTTCACTGCTCTCAGGCACCAGGCTGAATCCCAGCACGTAGGCAGAGCACACACACAAGAACATATCACAGAGATCAGTCCTAGCATTGCCAATCCCAGCTGGGTAGGAGCCTCACTCCTACTGATAATTCCCTTTTATCTTCAGCAGTAGAGCACATGCTTTTAGAGCCAAAGTCCAGTTCCACTGTTATGGGTGTATGAATAGGAAAGATTGTGGCTACTCAGAAAGCATATACATAACCTTCTATAGTACCCTCTGTTCCTGCAGCACGTACAGGCTGATATCTATAGATATCAGATCAAATAAAGACATATCAATCCAGCAGCTGCTACTGCCCACTCAACCACCACCCAGGGACTGGACTAGAAACACAGATACCTTTAGAAGGAAATGGAAATAAAGGGGAATTTCAGTCATTTTGCAGATTATCACCAGAGGAACTATGGCCCACATCTTGTGAAATGCTGATAGAGATGAGTAGCAAATAACGCACAGTCTCCCATATTCTTTTCATATATTTTAACTTCATCCTATCTTTCTGCACTTTTTCAGAGATCTAAGATTTCACAGCATTAAAGCGCTCTGTGTGCTACCGGAAGGGATAAAAAGACACATTATGAGTTTAAAAACTGAGAATTTCATGGGAGAGTTAAAATTGTCACTAAGGGC